GTAATTGAATGAATAAAATGTCCTTTGTTGTATGAACTGACTTGTGCTACACCAAAATAATTGGAATTAATTTCAATTCTGATGACACCCTCACTTAGGTAATTATCAAAGCATCCTATATCCTTCATTACTTTGGGCTTGTTTAAACAAATATTTGTTATGTGTGGTTTTAAAGACAGGCACTTCAGCTTGCTTCACAAGGATAAAAATCCAGAATCCTACAGCGGAGAAGACATTTAACTACAGACACAAGACAAGTCACAAGATTTCACAGAAAAAAAAACCAATCCACTTCAGTCATCTAAGCCTGCTTAAAAATGTCATGATTGAACTTGGATCAGATCACATCAGATCTGCTGCCAGCGACTCTCACAGCTGCCAGGACTTACACTGTACTGGCTGAAGACCAGTGTATAGATATATGAAGATATAATTTGTTGGTACCCCTCAGTTAAAGAAGGGAAAACCCACAATTCTCACTGAAATCACTTGAAACTTACAAAAGTAACAATAAATAAAAAATTATTGAAAATTAAAAAATTAATCAAAATCAGCCATCACTTTTGAATTGTTGATTAACATAATTATTTAAAAAAACAAACTAATGAAACAGGCCTGGACAAAAATGATGGTACCTCTATAAAAGATTGAAAACTATTTGACCAGAGTGACATGATTAACTCAGGTGTGTCCTTCAATTGACATCACAGGTGTTTCCAAACTCATAATCAGTCAGTCTGCCTATTTAAAGGTAGACAAGTAGTCACTCTGCTGTTTGGTGAAAAGGTGTGTACCACACTGAACATGGACAACAGAAAGCGAAGGAGAGAATTGTCCCAGGACATACGAAAAAAAATTATAGACAAACATCTTAAAGGTAAAGGCTATAAGACCATCTCTAAACAGCTTGAAGTTCCTGTGACAACAGTGCCTCATATTATTCAGAAGTTCAAGACCCATGGGACAGTAGCCAACCTCCCTGGACGTGGCCGCAAGAGGAAAATTGATGACAAATTGAAGAGACGGATCGTTCGAATTGTATCCAAAGAGCCCAGAACAACCTCCAAAGAAATTAAAGGTGAACTCCAAGGCCAAGGTACATCAGTGTCAGATCGCACCATTCGTCGTTGTTTGAGCCAAAGTGGACTTCATGGGAGACGACCAAGGAGGACACCACTGCTGAAAAAAAATCATAAAAAAGCGAGACTGGAATTTGCAAAAATGCATGTTGACAAGCCACAAAGCTTCTGGGAGGATGTCCTTTGGACAGATGAGACCAAACTGGAGCTTTTTGGTAAGGCACATCAACTCTATGTTCATAGACTCAAAAACCAAGCATACGAAGAAAAGAACACTGTCCCTACGGTGAAACATGGAGGAGGCTCAGGAATGTTTTGGGGCTGTTTTGCTGCATCTGGCACAGGGTGTCTTGAATGTGTGCAAGGTAAAATGAAATCTGAAGACTATCAAGGCATTCTGGAGAGAAATGTGCTGCCTAGTGTCAGAAAGCTTGGTCTCAGTCGCAGGTCATGGGTCTTCCAACAGGACAACGATCCAAAACACACAGCCAAAAACACCCAAGAATGGCTGAGAGAAAAGCGTTGGACTATTCTAAAGTGGCCTTCCATGAGCCCAGATCTGAATCCCATTGAACATCTGTGGAAGGAGCTGAAACATGCCATTTGGAGAAGACACCCATCAAACCTGAGACAACTGGAGCAGTTTGCTCATGAGGAGTGGGCCAAAATACCTGTTGACAGCTGCAGAATGCTCATTGACAAATACAGAAATCGTTTAATTGCAGTGATTGCCTCAAAAGGTTGTGCAACAAAATATTAAGTTATGGGTACCATCAATTTTGTCCAGCCCTATTTCATTAGTTTGGTTTTTTAAATAATTATGTTAATCAACAATTCAAAAGTAATGGCTAATTTTGATTATTTAATTTTCAATAAATTTTTATTTATTGTTACTTTTGTAAGTTTCAAGTGATTTCAGTGAGAATTGTGGGTTTTCCCTTCTTTAACTGAGGGGTACCAACAATTTTGTCCACGTGTGTATAGGTATATAGGATATATTATGAAGATATACTTAGCTGCAGACTACATTCCTGGGTTACGTTCAGCTAGGCTGGCTTACAATGCAATGCTAACCATGAAGTATGTACTGTTCATGTAAAAATATGTACCATAACCTCACTGCACTGCTCTGTACACTAGTAGCTAACACAAAAGTACTGGTTTTCTTTCATGGTAAGAAAATCTGATTAGGGAAAAAAAAATCAGCTTGACGTTTCAGACTCCGGGTCAGCAAGTACACAAAAGAAGACATCAACTATAAAAAAATAAATAAATAAAATCATTTAAATCACTTTCTTCATAGACCATCTGCCCCAACCTGAACAGTAGATTAATAACAACTGAGCCTTTAAATGAATGTGTTAACAGAGGAAACTTTTGGCTGCAGCGTTGCAACAACATTAAAGTGACATTTAAAAAATTATAGAAAACAGATGCTAAGGGGGAAATTACTAGGGAAGTCAAAAGAAGATTAAGACTCTAGCTGGGATCAAGGCTGATGAAAGAAAACCAAAGAGGATGGAAAATAATTGTCGACATCATGCGGCGCAATCGCCAGCAATCATGTGAAGAGCTCGTAAGTCTGACTGAGACCCACCATGGTCGAGGTAGAAGCTGTCTGCACAGCTGGCCACGCAGGAGTTTGTGCCTTCGTTGAGGTGGTGACCAGTCCGACAGGTGGTGCACTGGTCGCTGCGGCTTCCGACGCAGGTCTCACAGGACGAGGAGCATTTTTTGCAGCGCTTTCTATCGTCACGGAAAAAGCCACTGGGGCACTCTGATACACAGGTTCTGCATAGACAAAGTTAAGGTTAGTGTAAAATGCATAATACTGAAGTGCTCAAAAAAAGTGTGTGTGTGTGTGTGTGTGTGTGTGTGTGTGCGCGTGCGTGCAGCGGAGGTCGGGAGTTGTGCTGTGTGATGAACAGGTGTAACATCTGTTACTGTCACAGGCCCCAGCAGTTCACCCTCTGTCTCTGCTCCTCCGGTGTAAGATCTCTCTCCAAAGATCCTCTCGAGCACAGAGTACACACTCTCCCTAAGCCTTATTCACACACTGCTGTGCTTTGTGCCAGAAATCACATATGGCACATGTAAAACACAATCCACATGTGCTGTACACAAAGCCAGTGCGTCGTCTTCCTTTCCCCTGCTGTATTGAAGTGATTGATAAACAATAAAATCTTTAACACCTACATCAAGGACACAAGTGAATGAAGAAAATCATTTAAGCACAGATTTCTTTCCTCTCTTTCCACTGAAAATTTAACCCATTTATTTTGTTGCAAAAGCCATTATATAATTTATGTTAAGGCACTTTGGCTACTATTAGTAGGTACTTATATATGCAATACTTGTGCATAATGCAGATCCAATGGTTAACCGTAATGTAGATCTATCCAGAAAAGCAAAATGGACTATAATATAAACAAAAACAATGCAATCACACAATCATCTGCTACCCACCAACAGCTGTACAACTGTACATTATTAAAATGATCTCTACCATAGCTGATACATTTGCTTTTAGGACTCTTCATTTAAGGATGGTTTGTGAAAAACATCACATGAATTTGTCTTTGGTATTTATAGAAATCAGAGACAAGTGATTTAGAGTCATTTTACAGATTTTACAGTTTTATAGAGAGAAACTGTAATTGTCTTTTAAGTCAGAGTATATCTAATATTTGTATATCATTTTTATGAATTTACAAACTCCATCCATCCATCCATTTTCCACTTATCCGTTACCGGGTTGCGGGGGCAGCAGTCGCCTCCCAAATCACATTGCACCGTACCTAAACCTTCCTGCGGGTGGTGAGTCCACTGGAAGGTATCAACCGCCCTAACTGGGATTTGAACTTGCCCAGGAGGTGAACCCTGGGGTTCCACACCAATGACAGAGACATTGCCTCTGGGCCAAAGTGCCACATTTACAAACTCATAAAGGAGAAATATTCAGTTAAATCAGTGGTGTCAAACATAAGCCCTGTAGGTCAAAACCAGCCCACTAGAGGGTTAAATCTGGTCATCTAATCTGGAATCTGGAATTGTGAAAGTAAAACATTGCACAAACACTCCATGTTTTTGATGTTTTGTAAAATTATACATATTTCATTCAATATGAATACTTTCTAATATTGAATACTAAATGGAAACTAAAGGAAAAAATTTACACTTATTGTTGTTTATAAGTAATTATGTCATAATTGTACTGGTCCGACCCACTTGACATCCAGCTAGGCTGTATGTGGCTCCTGAAATACAATTTGACACCTCTGAGTTAAATAAATGTTACTCTCTAAGACATATACTTTATGTCTCTCTATCTCTCTCTATCTCTCTCTCTATATATATATATATATGTGCGTGTGTTTTTGTGATATTTAGTCTAATCTTTTCTAAATGGTGCAACTGATAATTAATTCAAGTTCAGCCCTGTAAGGCCGTGTTGATTAATTTTTGTCAGACTGTTTCTGATCCACATGGGCTATTAAAACCATCAAATACCTGAGTCAAATATACCTTCTACTGGGATCCTTTCAACTTCACCTTCGCTTGTGTACAGGAGAGATTTAATGTGCATACTGTCCATCCACAAACAATACAACTTTTTTATTGAATCACTACTAATAGAGCTCTTCTGATAACATTAGTCTTGTGAATTATAGTATATGGAAATGCAGATTGATCTTTGTGAAAATATAAGATCATTTTGTGAATGTTTACTTAACCTTAACCAAAAACCCGCTTTTCACTGAACTGTTTTATAGAATCAATGCTTGTTCACGTGTCTGACCTGGTGTTGTTCTTGAACTTGAGGAAGTAGTGCAGGCAGTTGATGCAGTGATGGGGCCCGGGGCCTTCACAGCCGTTCTCGTTACATTCAGCGTCACAGGGGCCTAGAGACACAAAGAAATTATATGAATCCTGATAGTGGGAATTCACACACTAGTCTGTACAGAATAAAAAAAACCTAAAAAACTAAGGCAGTAAAATGTTAGGATTTACCAGCCTAATATCTTCACAGGAAGTTACAATTCAGTGGAAGCTATCAGTTCTGGTGAATTACATGGTGCTTTTATAGCACTCTTAAACAAATGAATAATTTGCCACAGTCACAGAGCAGTAAAATAATCTCTGCACAGACACTCCTGCGTTTTATCACCTACCGTTGTACTCCTCTGTGAACTCCTCCTCTGTCGGTGTCAGCGTGAGTGTGTCTGTGGAGCGAGGCTTATCGTTGCGCAGAGACGTGTATGGGTGCACAGAAGTGCCGTACAGCACCAGAGACCACTCCTTCAACTTGCCTGCAGAAACACAGGCACCGCAAATGTCACACAGTGACATCATAAAGCATCTTTCTGTGTATTTATGACACTTGTCTTTAATTTAAGTTACTTCTGTCACTGTGAGGTTATAGGAGGGGGGCACACACTTCCTTTTTTACCTGGCATTTTAACTAAATGTATGGTAAGAATAAAACATATCTGCTGTTTTGTTTTTTTAACAAATAAAAATGTTAATTAAAACTCAGAAATTATGGGAAAACCACCTCCTCGTACCTGGTACTTTCTGGCTACGGAGCTGAGAAGGCGAGTCGTAGATCTCTAGGACCCAGTCACCTGCTGCCTTCTCTCCCCAGCAGTGTGTGGTCATAAACTCCCAGTTCTTAAAACCCTCCATAGAGTGATCAAACAACCTGCAAATCAAAAATACACACACATATACATACACAGGCAAACACATGCACACACAGAGAAATTAGACCATGATATCAGATGCGAAAACTCATGTGTTGCAAATGCCAGAATAAAATGTTTCGAGCTTCCACCAAGTGCGGTCACAGCTTCCAATGAGCTGTAGACAAACACTGCAGAGGACTGTGGTTTACTTAAGGTCAACCTTTTGGTGCTTGAACAGACAACAATCCAATATTTCAAAGGTTTTGCAAGTAAATATATTTTAGTCTCACAAATATCACCTTATTACATTAAGTAAAAGGAATCTACTGATTCTACTTTATTTACTCTTTGTCTTGGTTTTTAAGCTTCCACTTAGGATAATAGAGATAATAAAAAAAAAACTTTCAATATAATTGGACACTTAAGACAAAAATTCTATATATAGTACATGTAGGTTACCTGTTGGCGAGCAGCTGTGACTTGGTCCCTGAGGGTGACGTCAGGTTGATGGACAAGTCTCCACGGCGGGGGTGTGTGATTGTTATCCGTACAACAACGTGCTCCAGGTAGATCACATGATGGTTGGGGTTGTCAGTGCATCCTGTACCCTTGTACACTGACCGAACCACATGTTCAGGACGGATTGTTCTAAATGAAATTACAATACAGTTTTAGTTGAGAATAATATACCCACAAAAAAATGAGTGAGTGCCAGCAGAGGACTGAATTCAAACCATTGCGTAATAGTATCAAGGTTAGCCTGAACAAAAATAAATAAATAATTAAATGCACCTGACCATAATGTTTCTTTTATTTGTTTGAGAGTCGTGGTGGTCTCACTGCACTAAAACATTCTGGACTGTCAGCTCCTGCCAGTAGACTTCTACTTCTTAAAAGCATGCACAAAACGCCCTATTAATGAATTCCATATTTAAAAGCCCAGCCAGTCATCGTGTCCAAGAATCATGAGCTGAGCAGAGCAGAGACGAGGAACATTATTTGTTCCATAACAAACACCTGAGAAACATCTGTTATATGGAAGATCATCCAATGAGCTAATTTAAGAGCAGTATGTGCCAAAAAATAAAGGACACGTTACATAATCACTATAGCTGCAGCTGAGCCAACCCAACACAATAACTCCCTGCAGCACTGGATCAGACCCAGGGCTCATTCACTGGAAACTTGAACAGAGCTGGTGAAGTATACTTGTTGGCAAAAATCATAAAAATTAATCATTTTAATTCTTCTTTATCTTTGGATTTTTTTTTTATTGGAGAAGGTTTAAGGGATAGTTGGGTCCACTGTTAGTTTGATCCTGTACTGGACCTTGTTTCTTAGCAGCAACATGTCTATAGTCGATTCACTTGTATTTGCATTGTCCATCTCTCATAGATTGAATAGTCAAAATGAAAGAATAAATAAAAGATAAACTGTGGATAAATGAATAAAGTTAGAGTCTGAATCAGTCACTAATCAATTAAATCAACTGATATTTTAAATCTGACTTGATTTTTCTTAAATGTGTTTTTATAAACTAAAGATTAGCTTGAAGAACAGGAACAACAAATTTTGGATACAACGATCAATAATGTTTAACATTCTCTGCATTTTTATTAACTTGATGAGAAACCAATTAATCAGAAAATAACTGCCTGATTAATTCATGAGAAAATAATTGATAATTACAGCGATGACTGAGTGTTTTCTTCTTTCCTAAAAAATCCATGAGCGTTTTTAAAGCAGACAATAGGAATGGCTGGGGAGTCTGGGGCTGATATCACAGTTCTGGCTTCTCAATGACACATCGCAGATAACTGAACAAAACACATGAGACAGAGCCCAACAGATGCATAGCTGATTACCGGCAGTCTGATTGCACACAGATCAGGCGTTTCTCCTGGTTCATGCTCCAAGTGGAGTGAGGGGAGCGACTGCAGACAGACATTACCAAACCCAGTCTGAGGGGCCAGCCAGAGGGTGTGTGGAAAGACAGCATGAGGTGATGGCTGCAACTTATGTGAGCGAATTATAGACCGAGTGGAAGAAAAATTACAAGTCTGAGTAACGTTCACTGAACGACCATTTCACAATCTCTGAGTGACTTCTACAGTGGGGTAACTTTTTTTTTTAATGTTGGCAAAATCCTGCAGCACGTATAACATGGGTACAAAGACTTGAGCATAAATGCCTCTGACATGAGCCAGACTTTACATAAGGTTAATGCAGCCTGACCTAAGTGCTAGAGCAGAATAGACAGAAACAGTGATAATAGCTACAGATGCTGGACATCGAGCCTTTGACTGAAAGCAAATCAGTTCATGGCCCAAGTTTAGCCAGGCAGCCTAACACAGAACAGCACTCAGGCTTCCAACTGCATCCAGAATAAAAAGCTGTGAAGTCCTGGCTCCCTGTGTATGTGTGTGTGGTTTGTGTGTATGCGCGCATGAGTGTGTGCATGCACACATGTGCACATGTAGTTAAGGTCTTAGGTTAGAACCACCCTGCCAGAACTATGGCTTGGCCCCTATCAAGGTGCAGCTTGCACAACCACATTTTCAAACACATACCACTGCATAAAACACCACAGAGACAAAAAAAACAGTGAACAAAGAAGGAAGACAGACGAAAAGAAAGAGAGAAATGACAAAGAAACAGAGGTGGGAGTTTAGACATATTTATAAAAAAACTGTTTCCAAAACGTTGCACCACATTTATAGATGCAGATATTTATAATTTACAAAAACAATACATAAAAATAAATTATAATAAATGGACATCTGGGTATTAAATAATTAAATATATATATAGATAGAGAGTTATATATAAATATATGTATACTGTATATATAGTATATATAGTTGACCTCAATAATTTGTAAAATTAACCCATTTGTAATGAATTTTACCACATGCATAGATTTATGCACAATGTATATCCAATAATTCCACAATATCATCACTCCAATACAGTGTTGTCATTAACACACACTCTAAGAAAAGTATTATTTCACCAAAGATCCTAGATTGCGATTACCTTTGCATATTTGTCTTGATATTTTTCAATATTAATGATAGCTTAATTATTATAAATAATAAAACAAATAAAGGGCAAACAAATAAAGCCTAACTATATTAAGATATTTTAAGAATTAAGAAGGCTTTTAAGGAGAAGCACTGACTCCATTCATTGAAGCAAAGTAATTTCCAATGGACAAAAAGGAAACTGTGGTAAGGGCTGTGACAAGAAAGCCCAAACACTAACTTTGTGCTGTTTAAAACTGCTGACCTCAACAGTGATCATGTGGTTGTAATGTTCATAAATCTCTGCAGCAGGCTTATAAAATGTAATGAGAGCCTTCCTTAAAGTCTACAGGCTGTTAGAGAATCTTTCAAGGAAACACATCTGGGTCTGACGTCAGCGTGTCCCCACACATGGTGAAACATAACGTCTGCCCTGGAAGGTCAAGGTACCTGCAAAACTGCTCAACAGCAATTACCTTTTATGTGCAAGAGTCGAGTGTGTGTATGTGAGTGTGTGTGAACTTATCTACCTTATCTGACGGTCGGCGCTCTCCACACAGACGTGCTGAGCCGGGACTTGCCTCCATCGTTCGGCCTCCTTCACCATGGCTTCAGCATCCATCAGACCAAAGCCGTACAGGTGACTGACTGCAGGGAACAGGAGAGGATTTTCACAATGGTCTATGCCTGTTACTATTGCATTTTGAACAATTACCAGTTTATCCTAACCAGGTTAGATGTCAAGGGCCAACAGAGGATTAAATTTGGCATTGGATGATCAATTAAAAAAATAAATATGATCTATATTATATGTTTAAAATATTCAAATGGTATATCATATGTAAATATAATCTTAATAAGAATATTTATTTTTTCCATTTAGGATACTCTTGTTAAACTAAAATCATCACTGCATTACGGTGATGTAAAACAGTAAAATAAAAGTTGCTGCAAACACATCAACAGCTGTTTACTGTAGTGATGGGATAGCAGCAACATATTTGTTGCTACTAAAACACAAAAAACTGCCAAACGTTGTCTCTGTGGTAGTAACAGTTTTGAAATCACAAGGCTGATGAGTATGAGTCGAAGATCATTCACCACTGGGCAAGTTGTGAATTTCTTAAGCAAGGGCAAGCTATTCACCCAACATTGCAATGTGACGCATTAAACAAATAACTGGAAACATCAGTATCCACAAAGAGGTTTGTCCTGCATTCATTAGAGGAAAAGGTTTGGGCACCACTGATCAAAACACAATACAAAGTTTTTTATTAATTTAAGCCTCCAAAACAGATGTTTATTTTTTTATTAAAAATTCTAGAATCATAAAATAAAGGGAAATTGTATAATCGGTTATAAGTGTTGTTTTTGGAGCTAAAACAGTCCAGTCATTTTGTTTTGTAAGCAGAAAGTTTGGAAACTAATCAGGTCACGAGTGAGCTAATCTAATATGAATTCCTTCATACTTCACGCAGCCCCCCAGTCCTGTTTCTCTTTAGTTCCTCTTTGAAAAAACACCCACTTGGATAATCTCCTGACACACTGGGCCTGCAGCCTGACGACGTTTTTTCCATACACACACACACAGAGCTGTGTGCTTAAACACACACACTACACAGAAGAGTGATCAACACATTGATCCCGACAGCCAGCTGCTGGTAATACATTTGTTTGTTTCTATAAATGAAATGAATGAATCATTTTAATTCATACAGTGAGTGAGTGATTGCGTGAGTGAGTACAGACCATTGTAACCAGCAGCATTGGACTTCCAGTCAGGTGCACTGAGATGTCCAGCTCTAGAAGTCTTAACAATGATGTGCTGAACATCTCTCCATGACAGAAGAGGACTAGCAAAAGACAAAATAACAGAACAAAATTAAATACTATAATACTTTTATACTTGTATAAAGCAAGGATAAAACAATCCTTGTTAAATACAAGGATATATATATATATATATATATATATATATATATTAGGAGAGAAACATTACATAAACAAATAAAAGGAGATGTAAATGAGGTTAAAAAAACAAAAAAACTGTCAAAGTAAGGTTATTGCTCATAATTAGTAGATATTAGTAAATTAAGTAAATTAAGAGGAGGAGCAGTTGGACACAGATGCCAGTTTTCTGTTTATTCCTCAAATCTCACGTGTGATCCATCAGGAGATGGCAGCCACGTGCCTTCGCCCCTTTGATGTCCACACGCTACACTAAGAAGGGAAAAGTGGGTCACCAAGTTTCCTGGGATTCCCTTCCATCTCATATGCTAACCAGATGCTCCGCTCTATCCAAGTGTCCCTCGCTTACCGGAGGAAACCAGTGGATTCAAACACAATATGATTTTGTATACTGAAACATTTGTACTAGTATCAGATTATCAGATGAAGACATTGTAGTAATGACAGCCACATGAAAAGTATGTAAAAATGTCCGTACAAAACAAACCATAGAATTGAATAAATCTGCAGTTATAAAGCCCTCTGCTTGTATTTTCTCTTTCTTTTGCAATGTCCAGAGATGCATGAGGGTAAATTGTAAGATAGCTACTTTAGCTTTTCATCTGCATTTTAAAGTTCATTTCAGAATGGAGTGTATTTTGAGTTTGTTGTGATATTGTTGAAGTACAGCTGCACACTCAAATATTTATCTAATCTCTAATATGTTGTGGAAATTGTTTCTAGAGAGTTACATCTTCTTCTTTTTCTTTCGGCTTTGTCCCTTTTTTTTTTTTTCAGGGGTTGCCACAGCAAATCATTGATTTTCATCTCTCCCTGTTCTCTGCATCTCCTACTCTGACTTCAACTATCTGCATGTCCTCCCTCACTGCATCCATGTATCTCCTCTTTGGACTTCCTCTCTTTCTCCTACCTGGTAGCTCCATCTCTAACATTCTTCTACCAATGTATCCACTGTCCCTCCTCTGCACATGTCCAAACCATCTCAATCTGGCTTCTCTAGCTTTTTCTCCAAACCTTCCTGTCTGTGTTGTCCCTCTAATGACCTCATTCCTGATCCTGTCCATTCTTGTCACTCCTAAAGAGAATCTTAGCATCTTTAACTCTGTCACCTCCAGCTCCGCCTCCTGTCTTCTGCCTAATGCTAGTGTCTCTAAACCATACATCATGGCTGGTCTCACCACCGTCCTGTAAACCTTTCCCTTCACCTTAGCTGACACTCTTCTGTCACAGATCACTCCTGACACTTTTCTCCAGCTGTTCAATCCTGCCTGTACTCTATTCTTCACCTCTCTTCCACAGTCTCCGCTGCTCTGAACAGTTGATCCTAAGTACCTAAACTGAACTAATCTTTCGCTGTGAACTAATCTTTCGCTGTGAACTAATCTTTCGCTGTGAACTAATCTTTCGCTGTGAACTAATCTTTCGCTGTGAACTAATCTTTCGCTGTGAACTAATCTTTCGCTGTGAACTAATCTTTCGCTGTGAACTAATCTTTCGCTGTGAACTAATCTTTCGCTGTGAACTAATCTTTCACTATGAACGAATCACTCTCTTTGAACTAATCTTTCGTTTCGTTCTCGCAGATTCGTTTCATTTGTCACGTGACAGAGAGCTCGGGTCTCTTTTGCTCTCATTCATCTTCACATTGTGGTGTGTTTTTCTTTCTTAGGTTTTGACATGGTTTTAATTGCTTATGGCATTTTGTGTACTTTGTAGACTTTGTCAGCAGAAGCAAACCATGTTGCCTTCAGTATTTAGTGAACGAATGAATGAAATTATTCGTTCATGATTCGTTCACAACTCGTTTATTTTACTGTTCGAGAGTCAAAGCTCCGAATCAGTAAAAAGAGTCGGTCTTCCCATCACTACTCTCTATCGGTAACGTTAAGTAAAACCACGGAGGTGCTACTCGATTGGTCTCGCACGATCACGTGTCGAACCGTGCCACCGCTCGCAAACCAAAATCTTACTACGCCCTGAAGAAACTAGTTCGGCATGAAATGGCTCACCATAAAAAAGTGGCAGGATTTTTTGCGACAAACCTTTTGCTGTAAGTTTAACTTAACTCGTTCTTTTTTATGAAGTTAAGATGGTGTAGTTCGCAGACGTTGGAGCGAGATGAAACGATAATAGGGTTCACCTTATGGCCTAAAATGTGCGGTCCTCACGACAGCTCCAGAGCTGCCGTACGCGCATTTCTACAGCTGTCAGCCTTTGGCGACACTTCGTGCTAATGCTGGGAAACTGCTAATAATGTAAAAAAAGTAATCATCAAAGTGATGTGCACATCAGAGACGCACTTATGAGTGATTAACTCATAAATGAGTTTGCAATTATATGGGTGGATGTGAAAGAATGCAACAAGTGTTGAAGAAATGTGATTAACAATTGCAGCGGTAGTGTTATTAGAACATCTCACAATAAGACGGGAGCGTGTATTTAGGGAACAAGACGATATACTGTCCATTCCATCAATGTGCAAATTATATGTGATGTGTGATCTCGGACTATTTCTTTTTTACCTTTATGTGTGTGCGCTGCCCTGACTAACGGCATTTACGGCGACACACACACACTTTTTTCTTTTCATATTTATACCTGTGGACACACACACAAAACACACCTCGCCGCTTCTCCACCTCTCTGACTAGGATCTATAGTTCGGCTTCAGTCTAATCCATTTTTTAGTTCCTCGTGATGAATTCACCTGCAGATCTTGGGATTCACGGCTTCTTTAAAGATATTTGCATACGTAGGTGGGGGCGTGGTCTGATAATTCCGCACGTGCGTCAATGAAACACTGGGATTTACAAACGAAACGAAGTTGGATTTTAGCGTGAGCACTTTTTCACGATGAAATGTACGGACGTTTAGTACATCAGGCCCCCTGGTGTTAGACTGGAGAATATTCTGGATGGAAATAAACCAACCAATAGATCAATAGTTGTTAGCATTAAATGGATGGATGGATGGATGGATGGATGGATGGATGGCATACGTAGGTAGGGGCATGGTGTGGTAATTCCGCATGTGCGCTTAATGCCAATTTGTAAATGTGATTTACAAATGAAACGTACTTGGATTCCTGCGCACGATGAAATCTACGCACATTTAGTACATCAGGTCCCAGGACTGTACTTTCAACACTGTATTTTCATTATCAAAGCATTTGAAGTGGAATTTCCTGAAGTATTCACGGTGCGATTTTTTATTTTCTTACCTTCTGTGGGTTGGGGATGTAAATTGTTGGCATCTCAAAACCACATTTATTGAGGCCCGGACAGCAACACAGCTCCTGAACGATCTGCATCATCACCCTCTGCCAAAAAGGAAAGAATAATTTCACTCACTCCATCCATCCATTATCCTCCGCTTATCCGGGGCTGGGTGGCGGGGGTAACAGTTGGAACAGGGACGCCCAGACTTCCCTCTCCCCAGACACTTTCTCCAGCTCCTCTGGGGGGATCCTCAGGCGTTCCCAGGCCAACCGAGTGACGTAGCCCAAGCTCGTCAACTGACTCTCGATGTGAAGGAGCAGCGGCTCTACTCCGAGCTCCTCTCGGATGACCTCACCCTATCTCTAAGGGAGTGCCCTGCCACCCTGCGAAGGAAGCTTATTTCAGCCACTTGTATCCGGGATCTAATTTCTTCGGTCATGACCCAGAGCTCATGACCATAGGTGAGGGTAGGAACGTAGATTGACCGGTAAATCGAGAGCTTTGCCTTTCGGCTCAGCTCCTTCTTCACCACAACGGACCGATACAGATGGATACTGCACCGATCCGTCGATTAATCTGACGTTCCAGTCTCCCTTCGCTTGTAGACACTTCTCCTAACCAAACGCCCTCCTCTTCTAGAGAGTTACATGATTAGATGAATATCAAACAACAGTGCACTAATGGAAAGAAATATATACTTTGTGGTATCTTTTTACCAGAATTCCCTTTACATTACTTGTAAACCCTAAAATTGTGCATACCAGAAATCCTAAATGTCACATCCCCCAATACATAAACAGCACAACCTCCTGCAGATGCTGCTGTTAAAAATTCACAAATCTTGACGGTTCAGAGTAGCTCTAACTAACATATGGAGTAAAAAGACATTTTCAAGGATGGTTGCACAGATAACAGAGCCATGGAAAGAGGGAATAAGTGATGTTTGGATCAATATTAATGGGCTTCACTGTCGGTGTGTAATTATGGCCCCATAAACATTTCATGGTCATTAATTAACACTGTCTTTGCACAACAGATCAGAGGAGAAGAAAGCAGGACCTATGACCTAGTGTGTAGAAGAAGTGTATTTGTCTGGCGCTAGCTGGAAACTGGGAGTATTTCCTATACGAAGGATTTGGATTATCCAGGTTAATGAAGTGGCCTCAGTTAACGTAGCTGCTCTGCTTGTGATGATGGGAACAAACTGTGATTTAGATTCACTATGTCTCCACAGCTGGTATCAATTAATGGATTTAAATTTAGGCACTTCAATAGGATTCAAAGAAAAGGTGGCAGTCTGCAGTGCTTTACACAAAACCAACCAAGGCTTTAGGCATAAGGGCAAGACAGGACACAGGAAAAAAACTTTTTTTTTTGGTTGCCACAGGCAAAAAAGTTCAGACAAGTTTCAAACTCTTTTGAAACCCAAAACTGGCCAGAGTCAAGTCGAGTCAGGGCCGTACTCATGTTTAGCACTGCACTAAAGGGAAATGTAGTTGTAGAGCAAGTCAGTGTTTGACAAAATGGGGGGAAAAAAAGTTATATTATTTGATTCAGTGTAGGTACTACTTGTAGTCCTCCTTTTATTTGTCAGCAGTTCATGTTGCATTGCTCCCATCATTGTATTTTGAGCGACTGAAGACCAAAAAGGTAGTAACATAAACAGA